TATGTATTATTTAATATTATATATATAAATATATATATTAAATATAGTAAATATATTAAATAATAAATAATATTTAATACTATTTATATATATATATAATAAAATATTAATTATAATAATGAGTAATATAAAAAATATTATTTATTATTTATTAAATATTATTTAATAAATTATATTAATATTATTTATTTAATATTATTATTAATATAAACCGTAATAAAATATTATAATTTTCAATATATTCCAATAAATCGAATGAATTAATGGAAACAATTCAAGAAAATTCCTGTACAATTATTATTAATAAGAAATAATTTGAATATCATAGATATTTAATAATTAATGATAATTACCCATATGATTTGGTAAATGCAATTGTTTAGAAAGCCATTCGCGAAGGGCAATGATATCCCTTTTGACCATTTCCGGATCCGTAGGAATTTCTTCATTGATCCGTTTTTGCTGCTCCACCGTTGGTGGTAGCAACGTCATTTTTTTTATTTTTTTTCTAAAATACAAAATACAAATCAATTGTTAATATCCTTTTTTTTAATTATTCAACAATTTATTCGAACAAAACATTGACTCGTCTGTGTACAGAAAAAAAAAAAGAAAAAGGAATGTAAAAGTATATTATTATTAGGTGTTAAAATATTCAAGAACTTTAGCAAATATTAACCAATAATCGATCTTTGTACTCATTTTGTTTCTCATTGAACATATATATATATATTGAAGAAAAGAACAAGAAAAAATAATATGCAACTAAACATAAAAGAGATAAACAAAAAGAAAAAAATACTTTTTTTCTTTTACTTATGTAACTTTTGAAGATTAGCGTAGTTACAGTTTGCTTATTTCATTCGTTTCTCGTTACAAAAGCATATTTACATTAATTATCGTTACACAAAAAGTGAAATTATTTTACTCAGAATAAAGGATGTATGTGGTGTGTATATGTGTGTGTCTGTGTGTGTGAGTGAATGTGTTAATGTTTTAAAAAGAAGTGCGAAAGTAAAAAAAAAAATAAAATCGACAGTGTTACTCGTATTCGATCAATGTCACCGATTTTATTATTTTTGATTTATTAATATTTATTATATAAATAATAATAAAATAATTAATAAAATATATATAATAATAAATTATATTATTAATATAATATTAATAATAATTTAATTATATTTAATTTATATATATATATATATATATATATTAACATTTATATAATAATAAATTGTATATAATAAAATATATAATTAAATATATAATTATAATAATATTATTTAATTTATTATATAATTATATTAATTTATTATTATAATTATATTTTAATTATTTATTATTATAATTACATTTAATTAATAAATAATAATTAATATTTGATTATAATTATATTATAATTTAATTAAATATTAATTTTAATTTACTCCCATCTTCACACACTATTATCACCCCATATTAAATAAACAATATAAATATAACAATAAGTAATAAAATATAATTGAATATCTAATAGAAATATAATAACAAATATCAAAATAATGAAATTAATATTTTGCTAAATTTCATAATCTTACTCAGATTACTTCTTTAGAAAGTACAAAATAATATAATTTTGTTCACAGTTAAAAACAACTTTCCATTTAAGAGAGAAAATAGACTCGTGTGTCCCCCATGTATATTGAACTCCTCTTTACGAGTAAGCGTTGGAACGAACGTAATCGTGATCGTATTATTAAGTACTATACTTCGAAAATTTCGTCGTGAAAACGTGTGTATCCAAATCAAACGCACTTTCACGCGCGTGTACAACTTTTAACTTCATTTGTAATTTTAACTAACCACCAGAAACTAACCAATCTTTCATTAACTCAATCAAACTACTGTATAAAAGTTTACAATAATTATTTATTAATTTTTTTTTTTATAATTAATGTTATATATATATATATATATATATATATATAAATATATAAAGTTATATATTAAAAAATTTAAACAACAAAAAATTGATTATATACATCATTTAACAAAAAACACCATTTACTCCCCCATAAACATAATTAATATATATTATAAATAATTCTAAAAATATCTACTTACGTGTGGGTGTGTTGTTTATTTTCTAAAAGATTGTACAATAAGATATATAATAATATATAAGATGATTAGTTGTCTTAGATGATTATTCTCACAAGAAATAAGAAATATAAAAATCTCTTTAAATAATTAATCTTAATAAAAACAATTAATAAATGACACTTATTTACGTCAAACTATCCTTACGACTTTATAATAAGACGACTGACTGTACCAGTAGAAGAAACATTTCTATCTACTTTGAAAAGGATGGATCCTCTCGTTACAAGCCTAATGTAAACCCCTCTCTCTCTCCCATACCGAGTCATGGATTCGCCAGGTAAGAACGAGACTCACATACGAGTGTACATCAACCTAACAGATGGGTGGTCTTAACTGTATATATACACGTGTAAACGTATTCACATATATATACAAACACATTTGTATAGACAATGTAAATGGTATAAGGTTGGAAAAAGTATGGCAGACAGTATCCAAACGTTTTCACAATGTTTGCATGGTAACACTTTGATTTCGTGATTCGATTTCCCTAACTTGATACTTTATTCTTAAATCAAATGTATAATATAGTTTTTTTTTTTTTACATTTTTTTTTTAATTAGTTTTTTTAATTGGATAGTATTTCAATTGATTTGGTTTTCTAATATCACTACATAGTGCAAGTTATCAATGTTATATTGATTAATATGTATATTAATTAATGTGTATATTATATTGTATATTATAATGATACTTAATTCTTAACAAAATATACAATATATTTTTATAAATTAAATAAATTATAATACAACATTATAATATAGTATATTTAATTATTATTTTTCAATTATATAGTATTTACTTTGATTTGTTTTTCTAATATCAATACGTAGTGCAAGTTATCAATGTTACACTAATTAATATATTATATTGTATATTATAATAATACTTTATATTCTAAACAAAATGTACAATATACAATATATTTTTTAACATTTTTTTTTAATAATTATTTTTCAATTACAAAGTATTCCTTTGATTTATTTTTTTAATAAGAATATCAATAAGTATTTCAAATAATCAATGTTACATTGATTTGTATACTATAATATAATTTGTATATATACTATTATATACTATTCAAGTATTTTATATATAATAGTTACTTATTTACTTTCATACCATACCAAACATTTCTAAAAACATCAATGAATACACAATGAAAGTCTAGAAAATAATTGTTCATTTAATTCTAACCTTACTATCTGTAATTTGACCACACCCATTATAATAACTACAGTTATTTTAATGCGTTTATTAAAATGACAAGAAATTTATATGTGCATGTATATTTGTATGCATGTATGTATGTATGTACATGAATACTGGTCAAGGGAAACTTTGTATTGACTTCAAAAAAAAAAATCACAACTACATGAAAGAACAAAGATATATATATTAATCATCTTATGTATGTGTATATATATATAAACAATCTATTATTAATTATTACAATGATTTGATTAATTTCTACGTTCTTTTCGTCTCCTAGAAAAATATCGTTTTCTTCTTAAATTTGGTCGTCCTTGTTTGTAACGTTCCCCTATATAATCTTTCATTATGTTAGGTATATTTGCTATATTAGGTATATTTGCTATATTAGGTATATTAGGCATAAACGGTATGTTAGGCATAAATGGTATGTTTGGCATAAACGGTATGTTAGATAAATTAGGTATATTAGGTATATTAGGTATATTAGGTATATTAGGTATATTCGGTAGATTAGGTAGATTAGGTATTGCTGTTCTCTGAGATGGATCGAAAGATAACGAATAATATGATAATCGAATTGGTGGTTTGTGTTTAGGTCTGTCTTCAGAAATGAAATTTGGACAGGAAACATTGTTAATTGACATATCGAACGAGGATAACCTTTCTCTAAAAATAAATTAATTAATTAATGCAAAATTGTTAACATAAAAAAAAAACATAATTACATATTTGTATTAGTGAAAGGAAAATATAATAGTACTGTATACAACTATTAAATATAATAGTACTAAATTTTACTATTATGTGTAGAACTTTGTTCCCGCCTTTTTTTATTATAAGCCATCTGTAGGAAAATAATGGAATTAAAGCTCTATATAAACTTAATAAATGAATATATATAAAAAAAACCCTATAATAAATATATAATTAATATTTAATACTAATATTATAATAACTATTAAATATTCCTTTCACAGTTTACAGATGTAAAAAAAAAAATAACTTACTTATCTTTGCCACACTCACACCCATGTTTTACACGATAACGAACTTTGCACGGCAAAATGGGACTTAGCATCCTGTAATAAAAGATATGACAAGATTATTTTTCTTAAAGAAATTCTACATAATGTATTATTCTAACGTTTACATAAATATATATATACACACACACACACACGTACCATTGATTTGCTTGCAAATGCGGAAATGATTGTGACTTGGAAGATGTCGGTTCACAATAATTTCTTGGGAAAAAAATAGAAAGAAAAATGTTTCTTTTTAATATCAATAATAAATAACAAAAAATTGCAATATCATAAATATTTTTTTTTTATATATATATGTATACATAAAAATAAAATAAAATTACCTGTAATAATATTAAATCTTTTTTTTGTACGTAGAAGAAAATTCATATACAAACTTACGTAACGGGTGACAAACGATGTGAATTTAATTTCTTGTCAATTTTTTTATTATAATTATTATCATTATTATCATCATCATCGTCATCATTATTCTTCTTCTTATTATTATTATTATTGTTATTATTTTTTTTCTTCTTCTTTTTCTTATTATTATTATTTTTACGATCTTTACGTTCTATTTCTTCTTTTATTTCTTTTATCTTATGTTTGCCACGTTTAATGAGACTGTTACTAAGAAAAATGTTACATACTATATTAAAAAAAAAAAAAAAAAAAAATTGGTTTAACATTAATTAACGTGTTAAATGATGCAATTTACTCGTTGACAGGTGTGGTGTCCTCGTTTGACTCTTTTCGTGAAACGTTATTTTTGTTTACGCTACATCGACGTTCTTTGGCACATTTCAAACAATTCGTACCAAACATTTCGTTGAATTTTTTACGAGAATATCTGTCCTTGGTTCTAAATAATAACGAATGATATTATTCGTTAAAAAAAAAAAAAAAGAACAAAATATTTTTCTACATTTTCAGACTACATTAAAAATTATTTAACGTGTTCAAAATGCAAACACAATAGATACGAATATATATATATATGTAAATAAATTAATAAATAGAAAAAATAATTCTTGTTTTAGGTTAGGTTATGCTTACGATTCAAGTGCAATTTATAAACACACACAAAAAAATCTTTCTTTTTAGGTTAGGGTTATGCTTACAATTCAAGTGCAATTGCACACCAGAGACATGCGAGACAAGCACAGCTACAAAGTGCAAAGATTTCTAGCATTTCGTGAAAAAAAAAAAAAAAATCGAAATAATTATTTCAATCCATGACAGTGGGTTATGTTACGAAAAATTTGGTCCCATTTTGGTATCATCCTTTCATTATACGAGTGTCTTTTTTCTAGCCCTCTTACGAGAAATTTACGAAGTTTCTGTTTCATTTCTTTTTTGTTGAAACTTCACGATTCGATTATTGTTTATTATTTATTAAATGATAATTCTGAATTGAAATAAATTGTCAATGTAATGATATAAATATTTTGTGTATTTTATATATAAAAAAAAAAAAATAATAATAATATAAATTATCAAACAATATGGTGGATTGTTTTACAATTTGCAATACTGCTTGCATTGCATGTATCTGGTGTTTCCTTTTATCAACTTGGTATACAAATAACCTAATTAATTGATCGGTAACGATTTAATATTAATAAATTAAATTATTTATTAATTTTATAATTAATTATTATTTTTTTTTTTTTATATATATATATTACATAATCACAGTTATCCAAAATTTCGTACGAATTTAACAAGAAAAGAATCAAGCGATTGTTATATTTATCGAATGGACAAATTGAAGAATTCTGATAAAAAATCCAAAATTTTTAACAGCGATTAAAACTTCTAATTGTTGTAAACATTTTACATGACACTGATTTGATGAAATATCAAACGAGAAATTAATTTTGAAATTTATTAAAATGTAAAATAAAATACGAGAAAATTGTTCCCCCTTTTTTTCATCTTCTTCTTCTTCTTCTTTTTCTTTGGTATAATTATTTTATTATACATTTTTGTTCGTTTATTTAAATATATATTCATATACAAAAGATCTTTATTTTATTGTATAATTATTATTTTAACGTATCGTAGAACGTGAAATTTTGTCAACAGTTGTATCAACAACACAATCGTCAAATTTATTGATACCATTTAAATCAAAATTTTTATTTTTCTCAATAATATCCTGTGCAGGTATAACCGTAACCTTTGCAGTTGACACTTCACCATTATTGTCAACTAATTGTACTATTTTTTGTATAGTTGAAAATTCCATTACAACGGTAGATTTGTTGGTGTCATCTGTGGTTTGAGAAATTTTCGATATTTTTCTTCTAACAATCGTTGGATCTTTATTTCTCGTTGATACACTAATAACAATAACAATAATAATAATAATAATAATATTTAATTTATTTATAAATCACATTTACATTATAATAAAAACCCCATTTTTTTTTTTATACGAATCAATTATCAATAGATAAACAATTTTAGATGAATGTTGGTGGTTCGAAAAGTCGTTTCGTTTTTCTTTTGTAAAAATGAAGATTAATTTTTGCTTCGAGATTAAACCTAAACCTTTCAAGTGCTTATAAATAATTGAATTTGATAAAATTAACCTCTCATCGATCTCATGTGTTACTATTTGTCGATTTGCATCAACTAATGCCATTTATTGCGTCAACAAAAAACGAAACAACTTTCCGAATCACCTAATAAAATATGATAGAAAATGATTTTGTTTAATTTTACCTCGTAGGTGACATTTTTTTGCAATTACGTTTTTTATACTCCGACAAATATCTCAGTTTGCTTTTAGGTTTAGGCTCAATCATATCTTTTCTTTTGTATTGTTGTTGTTCTTCGTTATTCATGAAAGATCTGCTATTGCCAAAAACATGATTTTTATCGTCGTGACTGTCGTCTAACTTTACTTGGGGTAATATTTTCTTGGAATTGTGACAACTGGAACAGCTTTTCGATTTTCTCACGTGAGACCTAGAAGTTTGACGTGAAGAAAATGTTCTGGCACAACAACGATGATTTCGATATTGCCACCTAAAAAAAAAAGATATATATATATATATTTCAAGTTCATTCACGTTTACGAATTCATCAAAATTCAAAAGAATTATTTCTAACTTGAGATGAGTCCAAAAAAAAGTAATGAAATAAAAGTGACGTGATGATTTATCATTTGTAAAATAATTATTTATATTATTATTAATTAATGTAATTATATATTTATATTAATTACCATAATGCACAAGTGGTCACAGTTGAACTGAACATGAAAAAACAATTCAAAACTGTCAACACTATTAATGGCTCCAACATGATTAATTTATATCATAGTTATTTATTTTTAATAACGATCCAAAATAACATTCACATCTATATCGTAAAAATCGTATCGATATTATTTATAAAAGTAATAATAATTAATGAAATAAATTTGGTAATAATTATTTGACGAAAATAAAAAATATTCCCATTCATTTGTAAAATAAATCAAATAATATAACAAATTAAATACATACATATATACGTTTAAAAAAATAAAATAGATAACTTCACGAGGTAAAATGTTAAATGACAATAACAATAAATAAAAAAATGTCGTGCACATAAATTTGATTAAATTTTTTGTTGGAAAATTAATAATCATTGAAATGTATAAATATATCAAACAATATTATCTCCCCCTTTTAAATAATTCATTTTTTAATTCCAAAAATGTGTGTGATGTATTTGTCAATATGTGGCCCTATGGGTTTATATATATGTGTTAAATTTATAATCTAACCTTAAAAACAATTATACATGAAGAAGTTTCACGATATATTTGAAAGAATGCAAGTATTGCACTTTTTTTTCCTGATATTAACCCCACTTTACCCTTCATAAATCATTCGAAATAATTCGAAATCATTCAGTAACATGATTTGTTAATTAACAATACTGAAACATTATATGGAAAATTATTTGAAGATGTATTATCTTAAATTTACAACTTTATCATCACACTTTATCAAAATATCGATTATATTTCGATAAGAATGTTAATTACGTTGACAGTTGCATTATGCATTTCATGTATTTCGTGTTTTTACGGTCATTTCGTTAGAAAGAAATCAACTAAGAAAACAATTTCAACGAGACAAAGTGAAATAAAACATGAACAAATTATAAATGGGAGAGAATCAAGTGAACCTGTATATAAATTGAAACGAACTGTACCAGATATATCGAATGTTAATAATTAATCGATATGATTAATAATTATACAGTATGAAATAAATCAAATTATTAAATACATATTTTGTAAAAAAAAAAAAAAAAACAATTCATACGTGTATTTAATTTTATAAATTTACTATGATGGTTGCTGATATTATAAGATGTTAATTTAAAACAATTCTAAACTATTTAATTAATTATAACAACACACGAAAAAATATAAAAAGTAAGGTTAATTATGTTATATGTAAAATCAAAATAATTGAATTGTAGTACAACGCCATCTACTAAAAACTTACAGACTTAGATAACCTTAAAATAATAAATCCTTAAATTAATAATAACAAATAACAACAAATCATTCTAAACATATATTATATTATTTTATTATTATATAAAACTATTCTATATTTTAAATTGAACAAAATCACATTAAATAAATAAAAATTGTATTAAAATGGCTCACTAATTAAAAGAAAATCACCAATGTGTGTGACATTGAATTTTTATATATAAATACATTAATAAGATAACACCTTGTAATCAAATTCCTAAAATTAAATAAATAATAATCTGTTGAGGTTAGAATTTTGATATTAGGTGGACCAAAAAGTAACGTCACTTTCTAACCTTAAATTCACACGAATACATTTCTAACAAATTGATAATATATTTTTAATCAATTTCATAATCAACTTTGTTATCAACAACCTATTTTCATCTAGTATGCAAATTTTTAATATCAAATTGATACAAATCAATCGATTTTTTGATTAAAAAAATACAAAATTTGATATTTGTAGAAACGACATTACTTTCCGGTCAACCAAATATTTCAAGATTCCATCTACAATTAATGTTAGCAAATGACGAGATGATAGAAAACGTTAAAGTATAATAAATTAATATGGGAAGTATAGTGCATTCATATAAAGATAGGTCAAATATTCGGAGATAACCTTAAACGTTATTGGTGCAGACAGGGGAATAAATTTGATGATCAAAAGCATATATATATATATAGGACAAGTAAAATTTCTCAATAGGGGTCCTTAGGGACCCCCTTTTAGGGTTTGCTTTTAGGTTATATAATTGCCTGAGATTTTGAAAGACAGTGATACAAAGCTATATACGTTAACCGCAACCTAACGAAAATGACAAACCGACATTTTCTTACATATTTATCTATATATATGTGTATATGTATAGTAAACGTGTATAAGTGTGTGTGTGTGTATGTATATGGATTATATAACGATGATATTACGAATGATTTCATCTCTCAACACTAACATAACCTAACAATCGAACAGTTCCGTTTGCAGAAAACTTTTCAAAAGCCACCGATCACCAGTTTTCCTTTGACAAAATCAAAATACGAAAGACCACCCTCCAGGTAAACGTTACCACCTGCTGTGTTTACCTATCTAACGATTTATTTGTTCCATTAGTTATCTCTGTGACTAAATCATTAACTTTTTTAAACAAAAATATCACATGGAAAATTTTAACAAATTTGCATCAGTTTGTTATTATATTCACAATTTGTTGTTTAATTAATATTAAATAAATATTATTTCTATTAAAAATATATTAATTTAAAACAAAAGTAAGATTATTATTTATTACTTTAATTAATTATAGTAATTGCGTTGTTAATATTGTCTTTTTTTTTAGATATGAAATAGAAATTGCAACATACTAATATTATTTATTATAATTATAATAATTATAATAAAATAATAAATATGAAACTATCTTTTAACTACAACAGATAGAGACATAATTTTTCTTGAACATTTGAAAAAAAAAACTCGATATTTCTCCATCTCAGTTCTTTTATCAAAATTTCAAAATTTTCTTGTTAAGAATTCGATGAATTATGGCGGTTTCTCTTTGACATATTCCTACACTTCTTCATAACTACTCGAAGATTTTCACATCACACGTAGAATAATATCTTGTCGTTTCATTCAAAGTATCAACCACAAACCACATTCATTCATTCATTCATTCATTCATTCATTCATTCGTGATAAAGCAAACAAGAAAAGTGTATAAACCAATGTTGAGGAAGATTCTCAAGCACCTATATTGATCTAACCTAAAAATCATACTTGTCAAGGTATTTCTCGTGAAACGTGGCTACCATTCCGCGTAGTTTTCTAATTTATTGGCTTCCATTATTATATTGTCGAGTATCTTTAACACAGACCACACACACAGATCGAACTATACCTTTATGAAGTCTCCTAACCATTCACCCACGCTATTCATTCATTCATTCTTCTTCTTCTTTTTCCTCCATTTCTTTTATCTACCCTAACTTCCCTAACTTCCCTTTTACCAAATCAGATACGTTTTTTTTTTCCTCTTTCCATCCATTTCTTTCCATTTTCTAATATACTTCGATAAACTAATGTTATTTCTTTCAAAATATGTTGTTTAGTTTCAAAAATTATTTATACAGTTCTTGGAAATAGAGAAAATACAGTATAGTTGAGAATATTTGTGATTTGTTTGATTGAATGGAAGAAGATTAGCATACAATTTGTTTTCAATCATGGTGTAAATAGAATAGAAAATATTTAGGAATGAAAAATGATTTTTGTATTTTATTTTAAATTAATCTTTCAATTTTTTTTCTGTATAAATGAATTTTGAATTCCGAATTAGGATCAAAACTTATCAACCCATATAAAATATAATTATATAAAAGTATAAATAATACGTATAAATTTATTAATTAAATAAATTTCAATTTGTTAAATAGAAGATGAATAATTGTAAAATATTATTATATAAAAAAAAATATATATATAAATAATTATATATTATAAATTTAATAATTAAATAAATTCAATTTATGTTTTAAATAGAATAAGAATAATTGTAAGATATAATTATATATATATATAAAATAATAAATAATAAAATAAATTTAATTATACTTTTAATTTAAATTTTAATTAATTGAATTATGTTCTATTAAATAATTAATCTTCAATAATAAATGTATTTTTAAACGACCATAATATAGACATCTGTAAATCGATAAGATTGTTACACGATAATTACGATGTTTGTTGCATTTAAATGCAACAATAGGACTAACCACACAAAAAATAAATAATAGTGATCGTAAATCGTTATGAATTGACATTTTAAACATGTAATAGCCTACTACTGTAGACCGTAGAACTATTGAAATGTTAGAACGCCTTCAGTGATCTGCGGTAAAAGTTAAAAGGAATGAGAATCAAAAATGTGAACCATACTAAAACGATTCGTTCCGTCTAGTAAGAATATTTCGTACTATGAATAAACTGAAAAAAGAAAAATATATACATTCACGCCTGTTCAAATTCACATTCATTGAAAACTTTATTCAAATGTCTCAAAAAAAAAAAAATACCTAGTTCACAAAGAACTACCCTTTCTTTAATAATTCATTCAAAAAAAAATCAATTTTTACGCCCATTTTTTTTTTATAACCTTACATTTTCATCCTATTCTTGATTCATCACAGAGACAATTTTTCTTTACAATAAATATCCATTTTATTGTACTAACAAAAATCCAAGAAATTTGTTTCTATTATTGAAATTTGCTTTCATTTGAATCACACATTCGTTTTTTTTATAAAATTTATTTAATATATATATATATAACATATAATTTATAATTTTATTAATTAATATAATATATTTATTATTATATTATTATTATAATATATGTAATAATATAATATAATATATATAATTATATTAAATATAAAATAATAATATTAAATTATATTATAATATAATTATATATTATATTAATAATATTATTATTATTATATTATATATATATATATATTAATAATTTATTACATTATTTATAAAATTACATATGTGAGAGAGAACAAAATATGTGAGAAATAATTAAAAATTAATATTAAAATTCAAATTGTTAATTATACAAATCACCAAAATCAAACTACGCTCATTCTTATTAAATAAAATTCAGATTTAATTTTACATTGTTTAAAAAAAAAAAAAGAGAAAAAAAAAAGAGAGAAAATTGTTTTATTTTTTCCTTTTCTTTCTTTTCTTTTTCGATTTTTTTTTCGATCCTTTGTCAACCGATTGTTTTTTACTTTGATTCTCATCTAAATGAGAATGAAAAGAAGATGCTGGTGGAGTTAAGGGTTGTGTTGGTGGTCTAGGTGTTCTAAGTTCCAATTCAACGTTTCTTTTAACTTTCTCCGTTGTATCTGGTTTCTTTTTAATTCTTAACAAACAAACATTTTCATTGCCATCTGTTATTTGATCTGTGTGTACTTCTTGAGATCCAGGTGCACCGAGTATTGGATAAAACGTAATAGTACGACAATCGTCATTTGTATATTGACCACCCTTACAACCACCTATCTGTAATAAATAATTATTCAAATATTTTCCTACAATTTTAATATACATTCTTTTTTTTCATCATAAATATTTGTATTAATCATTAATTGTGTCTCAATTATTTAATAAATTTTATTAAAATAATTTATTATGCAGTTCAGTAATTCATAACAAAATAAATGCAAGAACATTTGGTTCATTCTAATATTATAAATATAATATTATTTTATGTAATATATATATACTATAACACACTATATAAATTATATTATATATTATATATTAATTATATATATATATATAAATAATATATAATATATTATATATTCAGGTTTTAAAGTAAGGTTAAGTAATAAAACTAATTGTAAGTAAAAAGTTATTATAATTATATTATTTATTTATTATAAAATTATTATAAATTATATTATATTTAGTATTTAAATACTATATATTATATTTATAAATACTATATACCTAATATAAATATATATATTAGATATAATTTATTATATATCTAGGTATTAAAGTAAGGTTAAGTAAAACTAAGTAAAAAGTAATTATATATAATTATATTATATATTTAGGTATATAATAGGTATATAGAATTAGGTATATATATTATATTATATAATATATTATTTAATGAGGTATAATTATTATATAATATAATACATATTATATAATTGCATGATATGTTTATATGCATTATATATATATATATATATATTTATTAACAACGTAATTTGTACCTCATAAGAAACAGCTTGAGGTTTATAATGAGGATCTTCCTTGGTACCCATATGACCCTTAGATTGTACCCGAAATAAAATACGATTATTATTGGAACCCTTTAAAATTTTAGGACCCGTTTTACTCGTTGGTCTTTGAATTTCTACGACATCGCAATCACATGGTGGTTCCCATTGATCCAATTTCTTTTTAGATTTTGATTTATCTTTTTCCATTCGTATGATCAAACGATTACCAATCATCTCTGCACCAATTTGTTCGTAATATTTCGTTGAACAAGTATCCTTGATTTTTGTCGATGATGAACAAAGTGGTGGTGGACATGTTGGAACGAGTATTGGTGGACAACAACATGGATCTTATCAAAAAATTACATTAAACATTAATAAAAACAATTTATAACAATTTTATTGTTGTAAATTCATACCTGGTTTACAAATATCTTGCATGTTTCATTAATAACTGTAATAATTTTGATGATAATAAATCAATAATTGTATTTTAAAAATAATTAATGTATCAAATAACAGTAGTTCTCCATTTTTATAGGTTAGAAATTATTTTTACAATCGATTTATTTATTATTCTAACTTCCTATCGATATTATTTTCATCTTTTTTCCTTTTTTTTTTATTTTTCAACTGTAAACATCTTCAAATCGTAAAAATGTTTCTTCACACATCCTTTTTTTTTTTTTTTTTGGTTATGAATTTTTTTGGAATAATGTTTAAATTAAAATGATTAAAAATCATGTATAATTATATGCAATAACATTAATCCGATATGATTTGGTTTTTAAACGTACGACAAATTACAAAACATGATTGCAGCAACTTATGATTGTGGTTGTATACCACATAATATCACTCACACATATCCAAATTGTTTGAAATCTCATTCACACGATCAAACACAACAAAAATACACTTTACTACGATGTCATCATGCTATTCCAACTTCTTCTTATTCTCCTCCTCCTCCTCCAAGAAATTCCTGTTGCAAACGTTTCAAGTATGTAAACTATTTCTAAAGTTAAATACATGTATTTCACGAATAACATAATTTTACATCATCAACACAGACAAAATACAATAAATTGTCGTAATGCAATTTCATCTTGTCCAAATTTTGACAAAATACACAATTGCACTTGTTCATCTGAATCACCTAAGAAACATGTTGAAATTTCACAAATACCTGACGACTGTAATTGTAAATTAAAAGAATCAAAAGATTGTAATGAAGAACAATTGGATCCTTGTACAACGGAAAAAAAATCTAGAATAATTTCAGATATTACTAAAAAAGGATTACCATATAAAGAAATAGAAGCAATAATAAATGACAATCATATGGTGATTAGAGTACAAAAGGAACACGTACAAGATGAATTCGAACCACCATGCGATTGTCCAAATGATCCAGGTATACTTTCATCGAAATCTGATGAACAAATTCAATCTTCAGGATCACCTAAATGTCGAAATGATATTGTTTATGAAATGAGTGATTTATCTAAATCTGGATACAAGTATACTGGTCAAAATTCAACGATCAAACAAAGTTGCGATCAAAGTGGTAAGTGGTGTTAACCTTTTTGTGTTAAACAAAATATTTCAATTTATTTTATTTAAACGAAAATTTATATTTTAACTAATATTTTGCCAAATATATATATTATATATATATATATTATTATTATTATATTTTAGTAAGAATATGACGTTGTTGTATAGATAAAAGTTAGGTTATGTTCATATGTTTCGCGCTCTCACAGAAATCTATGACCAACAGATGGCACTAAACTTAATTGTATCTTTTTCTGTTTTTTTTTTTTTAAATTAATTAATTTTTTATAAATAAATTAATGTAATGTAAACACTTTTTACATTTTTGGTCAATATTTTATATAAATAAAACCAAAAAATAACAAAATAACAAATTACTAAATTAAAATAGAAAAAATACAAATAATAAAATGTAATTTAATAAAATTAATGTTAGGTAATTTAATAAATTAAAAAATTAAAAAAATATTCATAGGGATGATTAAAATAATTTTGCAAAAAAAAACTGTCCACCATTATCCATTCAACGTAATTAATTACAAATAAATTTAAACAGGTAAAGGTGGACGTACCATAACGGTTTATCCTCATCCCGGAATTTTACAAAAAATACCCGACAATCCTCAAGATGACAAAGATAAAAAAAAATTGGAAAAAACTAAAATAACCAAACCACAAATAGATTTGGAAGAAAATCCAAATATATTTGTATTGAGAATACGTAAAATGTCACGAAACGTTGATGGAAAGCATAAACTTGATTTAGAATTTCGTGCACCAAGACCATGGATCAATCGAACGTTTAATGAACCAATCAAACGTCCAGCAATTCATTTACAAACAAATTCTGATATAAATGAACAACAAGGTGTTACAACGAATAAGAAAAAAAGAAAACATACTGGTGAAAAGAAAAAGATTGTTGATAAAGAAAAGAAATAATTATCTAGATAATTTTTTTTTTTTTTTCTAAAAAAAACAACAACAGCGGTATTCTTTAAAAGATCTTTTCTAACTGACTTATATTTTGTAACAGCTGTTTCCTTTTTTTTTTCTTTTCTTTTCTTTTGATCAGTCAATGAACGATCATCCGCTCCAATTTTCTTCCCACGAGAAGATCATTTTTTTTTCATCTAACACCGCGACTAATCTCAAAATCTAATCGAAGAAAATCAAATTTCCGGATCTTTTCATTCTTTCATTTTCATTTAAAAAAAAAAAAATCATACTCTACGTTTTACTTTTAAAAATAAAGAAAATTTTAACCGAAGTATTTTACAACGTTAGATATAATAATCTTTTGTATTTGAAAACAAATATGTATTTTAAAAAATTAGAGAAAATATCAATTCTATTAAATCTTATTTAAAAAAAAAAAATAAATAAAATTGTGTAACCAAATTATATATATAAAAAAAATTAAATATATGATAATATAATTTATATACTGTATTATATAAACATTATTTTATATTTTATTTTATATTATTTCATTAAATAATAATTACTAATACTATACTAATAAAATAAATACTATATTATACTAAACTATACTATACTATACTAAACACTATACTATACTAAACTAAACTATACTATACTAAACCAGTCCCGGGCTGGTTTGGGGATAGCCGAAGTCAACCACTTCACAAAACATATATATATATACTAAACACTATACTATACTAAACTAAAATATACTATAATAAACACTATACTATACTAAACTAAACTATACTACACTAAACACTATACTATACTATACTAAACTATACTATACTGTATATATAAATATACTATACTAATTAAATAATAATTACTAATACTATAATATTGTTATATTATTATTAAATAATAATTACTATAATTACTATAGTATTTTATATAATATTATATTATATATTATATGTAATATAATTAATACATTACAATATATATATATAGGTAATATTATTAATATAATATTATTAATATTTATTATATATATAAATTATATAATATTATATTAATAATTACTATAATATTATTATAATACTATAATATTATAGTAAATTATAATTACTATATTAAAAATAATTAATATATTATATAATATAATATATTAATTAATATATTACTATATAATAATTTTAATTACTGTATTATCATACTATAACACACACATTATAATATTATAATAGTATAGCATAAATTATAATGCTATAATATAATACTATAATATTATAGCAAATTATAATTACTATATTATTACATAATAATCTTTTTATGATTTATTACAAAAACAAATAAATATTTAAAAAAAAAAAACTAGAGAAACTATCAATGTTACAAAAAATGCAAAAACCTTTCTCCTCTTTCAATTTAATTTTAAATCATCGTGTGTGTGTGTACTATATTTTTACTTAGAAAATATAAATGAAATTTTAAGAAAAGTATATAAAAACCTTATATATATGTATGTATGTTATATATTTTTTTCTTTCATATAATTCATAGTCATTATTTGTCATACGTTTGGGATACAATAAATTTGATCAATGCTCTTGAAATGAATATGCGGTAATAAAAGACATTTTTTATTATACATATATCTATATATAGATATATATATATATATATAGTATATAGTATCACGTTCACTAGAAGATATTCTCACGATTGAAAATCAGAAGTCAGGTGCTTACTTGAATGGACTTCTTCGATCCATTCATTCTTCTCAAGGATTCGAATAGCCACCCGCCCACTCTAAAGAGCTCATTTTTTGAGAGCACCGAATTCGAAGGGTGAATCAAGAAAAAGAAAAAAATGTAGAAAAAAAATGTAAAAGAAGAAGAAAAAGAAGAAGAAGAAGAAGTTAGGAATGTAGGTTATAAGAAAAACCATTTCTCATGGTAGTAGAAGAAGACTCGATCTACCTGTTGTCACAGGGAATTACTATTGTCATAAATGGGGCTTGACACCCATAACTTTCTATCTTTTTCTTTTTCTTTTTTATTTCTTTCGTTCTTTCTTCATTTTGTACCTTTGTAAATAGTCAAGAAATATTCTTCTCGTAATTTTAAAGAACAATAATCATTTTTCAATATCCGTTTCCCATTAATAAGATTTTATAATATTATTATTTTTTTTTTCTCGTAGGATATTTTTCAAACTCAAGCTACCTCTTTTGTGATATTTTAAGTATAATTAATAATATTAGAGAAAAAAAAAAGGTACAAAAGTTTTCCATTATACCTAAGGAGACCCCTTTATTTTATTTAAAACTTAAAATATTGTTTAATAACACAATAATATTTATGGTTTGTTAAATATTTACATTTCACATATTGAAATCCTATTTTCAAATAATTTTATTTATAATTTTTATAATAATTAATAATATTAAATTAAATTAATAAATAATATATAATTATTTATTATATAATAAATTATATATTAATATATTATATAAATATTAATAATAAATTAATAAATTAATAATATAAATAATAAAATTAAATTAAAATTAATAAATTAGTAAAATAATTAACACAATTAAATTAAAATTAGTAGGTTAGTAAAATAATTAATAAAATTAAATTAAAATTTATAAATTAATAAAAGAATTAACAAAATTAAATTAAAATTAATAAGTTAGTAAAATAATT